GGCCTCCTCCAAGGTAGCCTAGGGGGCCACATGCGAACCCTACTCCTCCCCCCACGATCTCTGAGGGTGACGGTGGGGTTCACTTCGCTCTGGAGCTCCCGAGCGAGGAGGAGGAGGAGGAGGAGGAGGAGGAGGAGGAGGAGGAGGAGGAGGAGGAAGAGGCGAAGGAGGAAGAGGCGAAGGAGGAGGAGGATGAGGATGAGGAGGAGGAGGAGGAGGAGAGGAGGAGGAGAGGAGGAGGAGGAGGGGGAGGAGGAGGAGAAAGGCGAAGGGTGAGGAGGAGGAGGAGGAGAAGGGGAGGAGGAGGAGGAGGAGGAGGAGGAGAGGAAGGAGAAGAGAAAGAGGCGAAGGAGGAGGAGGCGGAGGAGGAGGAGGAGGAGGAGGAGGACGAGGAGGAGGAGGAGGAGGAGGAGGAGGAGGAGGAGGAGGGCGGGACGGGGCGAGGCGCTGGCGCAGGCACGGGGGCTGCGACCCGCGGGCTGCCACTGGCGCGACGGACGGGCCTGGGCTGCGGCGACGGCGAGCTGCCAGAGGCGTCGTCGCACGAACGCGGTGGCTTCGAGGCCCCTGCTCGCATCACCCAGGAGGGGAAACGACACACAGACACAACTCATCGTCGATTCCCCAGAAGATAGGGGAAACTATGGGCAGTGGGGGGGAGACAAAGACACAGAAGTGGCGGGGAAGACGAATATGGGAAGTGGGGGGCATCACGCCCGGCTTCGGGCCCTCCGCCCGGCCCTGCTCGTTGCGGCGACGGCGAGCTGCCAGGGCGCCGTCTCCCGAGTGCGGCGGCTTCGAGGCCCCTGCTCGCATCACGCCTGGCTTCGGGCCCTTCGCCATGGCTCGGGCCGAACGGGGGGGGGCGACATCTGCATGCAGCTGGTTTCGGCCCCGCCGCCGGGCCCATTCCCCGACACGTGGGCGCCTCCCTGCGCCGGGAGGCGCCGGGAAAAGCAGCTGCGTGAGCTGATTCTCTACCCTGCCCTTTGCTATATCCCCCCCTCTCGTTCCCCCCGAGATGCTTCGGGGCGCTGAAGAAGGAACCCTTTTCATTGGGGAGGGGCTCGTTGTTCCTTGACTGTTGTGCAGTTTGCTTTAGGTTTCCCGAAGGTTTTGCATGGGGAATCGAAGATCAACTTTTGGGAAAAAGGGGCCTCGTTCCTTTTCGTTCCCCCCGAGTGGCGTGGGGGTGGTGCTTGGTCGGCGTCCCGTGCGGGCTTTGGCCAGCGTGCGCTGCCAGCTGGTCGCGCACCAGGCCGCCTCGCTTCCTTCAGCCACGCGCAGAGGGGGGCCGGGGGGAGGGGGGGGGCGAGGCTCCTGAGAAGCACCCCTGCTTCCTAGAGGGCGCGGGCCTTCGCCACGGACGTCAGGCCGGCGCCTTCCAAAGAAGCCGCCTCCTTCCAAGAGGCCCTCCCCCCTCCCTCCTGCCCCCCTTGTGCGCGCTCCTCGTCCTCCTCGTCCTCCTCCTCCTCCTCCTCCTCCTCCTCCTCCTCCGACTCCTACTCCTCGCCAGCTTTCGCCACGGCGTGGGGCTGGCGCTGCGTCGGCGTCCCCCTGCGGGCCGCTTTGCGGCCCGCGTGCGCCTGTGCGCAGGCCGCGCCCCCGCCTCGCCGGTGTCCGGGGGCGGGGGCGCCCGGCTCGGGCTGTGGCTCGGGTGCCCCGCCTCGCCGGTGTCCGGGCGGGGGCGCCCGGCTCTCGGGTTTTGGCTGGACCGCCGGGAGGGGCCGCGAGGCCGCCCTGGTCGGGTGCTGCTGGAAGCCCGGCATCGCTCGGACGTGCGCATTTTTTTTCCGGCGGGAACCCCCGAGGAGACCATCCTGGACCATCGAGCCAACAAAAAAACACGCACGACATCGAACACTGCACGGGGAATGGACGTCCGAGCGATGGCGAGGGAAGTGCCCCTGGCCCAAGGGAGGCCCCGAGGATTTTCCAGGGAGGCCCCCAGGGCCTCCAGAGCACCCCTCACGAGGCCCGGAGGGCCCCAGGGGCTCCAGGGTCGAGCGGGAAGCTGGGCAACCTCGGGCCAGGGGCACCTCTGGCAACACCCGGCCTGGCATCGCGCGGTCCGGGCCGAGCTCGTCGCTGCGACCGGACCGCGGCGCGTGGTCCTCCACCGCTGCTCCGACGACGGGGAGGCCGCCTCGGACCTCCTCGTTCTCTCTCTCTCTCTCTCTTTCTCGCTCTCTCGCTCTCTCTCTCTCTCTCGCTCTCGCTCTCTCTCTTTCTCTCTCTTCTTTCCCGTTTCGCATTCACGCGAAGCAGAGCGAACGAACCCCCGACGGGGCGCCATGAGAACGCTTCTGCTGGGGACTTTGCCAGAGCTCCTCGATGCGGATGCCTGCGACCAGGGCTCGTAGGAGCCATTATTTTTAGTGAGGGTCCCTTAACACGAATATGTAATGAAGCAAGCTCCCTTCAGCGAGGGATTCTTGGTGCGGGTGCCTTTGGTAAGCATTCGTCAGTAAGACTGCCTTCAGCAAGATGCCCGTAGCGC